ATTCCACATTAACTCCAGGCTGTCACTCTCTATTACAGTACTGTCCAAGTCCTTCTGCAGCCTCCCTGTGTCTCCACATATCTTTGGCATAGCAGGATCCCGCCACTGCAATATGATAACGCCCAAGTAGTTAGGTCTTAGTGATGTTAGTTAAAGAATGAATGTTTTCCAGGACACAGATAACTCCATGCTCCACATCATACGGTAGCCCTGTGATCTTTTATATTTACTGGCAAGGACAGAAGTAACTTTGATTTAACAAATCACCTGAAAGGTGTCACTTTTGACAGTGCAGCTCTCCCTCTGTGGAACTCATTGTGGAGGCCAAGTCATTGTATGAATTTAAGACAGAGATTGACAGGTTTTAGATTAGCAAAGGGATCAAAGATTACAGAGAAAAGGCAGGAGAATGGGACTGAGAAACATATCAGTCTTGATTGAATGGCGGAGTACACTTGTTGGGCCGAATGGCCTAATTTTGCACCTGTATCTTATGATTGTTCTGCTTTCTATATTACGGCAGTGCCTACTTCACTGGCTACAAAGAGCTTTGGGATGTCCCAGGATTGTGAAAGGTGCTACAGAAATACAAGTTCTTTCTTTTATTAGACTGGAAAGAGTGAGTGTATTTAAGCTTTGGTTTTTGTTCTAATTCTCTGAAATTAAACCTTGCTGCATGTTAGTGTGGTGGTTTGAACAGATACTGAGTATTCCAGTACCTTGGAGAGCAGTTTCTCCGAGCAGTTCCCGTCTCTGTGTTGCATTGAGCTGGTGCCGGCCTTTCGGTCCTGTCTCAGTGCCGTGCTGTCCAGTTGATGCCTCGAGTGCTTGTGCCATGGCTGTGCTGACAGTGCCGGGCACCACGACCGGTCGGAAGTAATGAACAGGCCTGTAGTCCCTCGGCAGTTCAGGGGGGCCATAAACCTGACATATAGCAATGGGCAAGGTATTAGACTGACAGGGCCTGCCACAAGCTTCCTCTGTGATTCTCTCTCTCTCACACACACAACACACACACCCTTTGTTCTGTTGTAGCAATGGGGCCTGAGCTTAGGTCACTGAACTAGGGGCAAAGAGGGAGGCAATGGCCAAGCGGTATTATCACTGGACTCTCAGGTAATGCTCTGGCGACGTGGGTTCAAATCCTGTCACGGCAGATGGTAGAATTTGAATTCAATGAAAATCTGGAATTAAGAGTCTAAGAGAAGACCATGAATCCATTGCTGATTGTCAGGAAAATCCCATCTGGTTCACCAATGTCCTTTAAGGAAGGAAACTGCCATCCTTCCCTGGTCTGGCCTACATGTGACTCCAGACCCACAGCAATGTGGCTGACTCTGAATTGCCCTCGGGGTACAAGGATTTGGTAGGGTGAATAGACAGACTATTCACATACTCAAGGAATTAGGGTATGTGGAACAAGGCTGGGTAAATGGAGCTGACGTACAGGTCAGCTATGCCCCAATGGGAATGGGAAACCAGCTGGAGGGGCTGAATAGCCAGCAGCCTAACACATCTGCACCCCACCCCCTCAATAGCCTCTCCCCACTCTACTCAATCTGCCCCTCACATCATTTTGTCTAGTCCTTGAGCACCCATGTCTTTACCCGGTTTGCCCTTAAATGCATCAATGCTTATTCATCTCAACCACCACCTGCACAGCTGAGTTCCACATTCCCACCACTCTCTCTGTTAAGACGTTCCTCTGGAATGCCCGGTTGGGTTTAGCAGGGACTAATTTATATGGAGTGACCCTGGTTCTGGCCTTCCCCACTTCCCTCATCTTGATCATTACCGCAGACTGGAACTCAGAAGGCGGATTGGACAATATAGCACCTACCTTTTTGGGTTTAGTTGACTTGGATCCCAAGGAGAAGCCTTCCAACATTTTTCCAATGTATCCTGTCTGGGGATTCAAACCTGGAACAGACAAGTCTGGTTTAAATTCACCCTCCAAGGTCAACCTGAGCTCCAGGGCATCCTGCAGGGGAACAGCTCAGCATCATGTGGCAAACACTCACGTTTTGCTTTCCTGTATTGCTGTGGTGCAGTCCACCCATACAGCCCATCCTCTGGCTCTTCCTCTCTCAGCACTGTGTCATACTGGGACAATGTATCCCTGGCATAGATATCATCATCCTCCTCCTCCAGGGCCCCCACACCGAATGCCTTTTAAAGCAGTTAAAAATAAAACACATCTTCAGTCTGACATCCTGCTGCCCAACTTGCCCATAGCATAACCAACATTCCAGACACACTTACAAATGCTGCAGAGTGAATATAAAGTTCTAGCTTCTATCAAGTTTGTCTAATGTGAATTCACATAGGCCTCCACTATGCCTTCAAACCTGAAACCAGTGCAACTTCTGGGCCATCAGATTTCAGTAATTCATTACAAATAAAACCCGCACGGGCATCTTGAGGATGTGAAAGGTATTATTATAAACCACTCTTCCCAAGCCCTGCACTGTCCTTGCTTTCATGCTGCCTGCCCAGCCTCCAGCACTGAAGGTGCAGAAGCTCTTTCCAATTAAACAATGGAAATAATAAAGCCACTGTCTTCAATCCCCAACAGAATCTCCCTCGGTAACTACCTCAGGTTGAACCTCAAAGTGCTTTTTGTTCCAAAAGCACTAAGACCTGAAAAAAAAAACAGACTTGGGCTGACTGTTGGCAAGTAACACTGGCGCCACATAAAGGCCAGGCAATGACAATCTCCAACAAAGAGAATCTCACCATCACCCCTTGACATTGAATGGCATCACTATCACCTGATACATCACTATAAACATCCTGAGGGTCATTATTGACCAGAAACTGTACTGAACTAGCCATATATATACTGTGGCTACAAGAGCTCCAGGACTGGGAACTCTGTGACAAGTAACGTACCTCCTAACTCCCCAAAGCCTGTCCACCATCCACATGATGCAAGTAACTCACTCCCTCAAACCCATATTCTGTCATTATCAGGCTTTACTTCGTCAATGTTCTCCTAGCAGCCTCGCATTGTTCCAATTACAAACCTGAGCTCAACCAAAACTCTGCTGCCCTGTCCTAACTCACACCAACTCTAATCCTCTGTACCTGCTGCCTGGCTCTCATAAATGTTACAGGGCAGGCAGAAGTCATTTGGCCCACTGTGCCTACCCCAGTCTCACATTGGCTCCCAGTCCACTAATGCCTCCCATTTAAAATATCATGTTATTTAAATCCTTCAATAGCCTCTCCATGGCCTCTCCTGGTCCTCTTATAGAAACATATAAAATTATGAAGGGAATAGGTAAGAAAGAAGTAGCGAGGATGTTTCCACTGGCAGGTAAAGCTAGGACAAGAGGGCATAGCCTCAAGATTAGAGGGAGCAGATTTAGGACTGAACTGAGAAGGAATTTCTTCAACCCAGAGGGTTGTTAATCTATGGAATTCCTTGCCCAGTGAAGTGGTTGACGCTATTTCAGTAAATGCTTTTTAAAAAAAAAGGTAGATTTTTTTTGAACAATAAAGGAATTAAGGGATACGGTGAGAACGCGGGTAAGTGGATCTGAGTCCACGAAAGGATCAGCCATGATCTTATTGAATGGCGGAGCAGGCTCAAAGGGCCAGACGGCCTACTCCTGCTCCTTGTTCGTATGTTTGTATGTTTGTATGTTTGTATGTTCGTATGGCACACAACCCCTCATGCCCCACAAAAGTCCTACAACACAGATTTTACCACTTCTCCGGTTTTGGTCCCCTGCTAGCATTCCTGCCATTTGTTCTTCCGAAGTAAAATCAAAAAGGTTTACCTGCCCCGTGATGCCTAGCTTCCTGCCCATACTGGGTTGAATATCACCGAGCAGGCTGCTGGTCCTGTCTGAGTCAGTGTCGAACACGTTACTGCAGCCCTGTCTAAATGCCCCAAACAAAGCCCTGCGAGGATCGATTCCACTGTAACCAAGCCCATGGCGGTCATCCTTTGGTGTGAAATCCATCACTATCACATCTTTTGGTGCAAATGTGACATTTTCAGGCTGGTACTCATCCTCTTCCTCCTGGAAGAAAAACCAGAATCAAGATTTGGATTCTCGTACAGTTACGGCAAGATCTTGCAATTATGACACAGTATTAAAGATAAGAGAACTTTTCTGCCAAATTCCTTTCAGTGTTTAGAAATAGAGAAAACAGGAAGCGACCAAACTGTCTACCATTGAATGAAATCATGATTCACATTGTACTCCCCTCTATCACCCTGGTCCTCACTACCGCTGCCTAACAAAGAAAATCATCAACTTCAGGCAGAGGTGACTGTTACCTCCCTGTGCCAGGATCAGGGATGTCACTGAGCGGCTGCAAGGCGCCCTGAAGGGAGAGAATAATAAGTCAGAGGTTGAGGTATTCATTGGTGCCAATGATGTCGGTAGAATAAGGGATCAGGTCTGGCATCAAGACTTTAGGAAGCTAGGCAGTAGACTAAGAAGCAGGAGCTTAAAAGGAGTAATCTCTATATTACTCCCAGTTCAATGTGCTAGCCTTTGAGGAGGTTAGGGCAGATGAATGTGTGGAGGGGGGAGGGTTTTAGATTCCTGGATGACTGGGACTGTTTCTGGGAAAGGTGGGACTTGTACAAGTGGTATAGTCAGCATCTGAACGGGAGTGGGAACCAACAACCTTGTGGGTGGGTTTGCTTGTGCTGTCGGGCGGAATTTAAACTAGTTCAGTAGGGAGAAGGGACACACACTGTCAGTACACAGGGACATAGCATACTTTAGTACAGGAATCAAGGCAGAAGCAGTTCAGCCATATGGAGTTTCAAAGGAGTAAGGCCAGGCTGCATGGCCTCTACTTTAATGCTTGGAGTGTTAGAGGTAAGGCAGGGGGGTTAACGGTGTGAATTGACAGGTGGATTTGCAATGTTGTTGTCATCAAAGAAACATGCTTGAGGGAGGGGCAGGATTAACAATTCTGCATCCCAGGGTATAGGATCTTCAGGCAGGGTGAAAAAGAGGAGGTGGTGTCACATTTTTAATTAAGGAGTCAGTTACTGCAGTAAAGAGGAATGATACCTTTGAAAGGGTTTTCACATGAGGTTTTGAGAGTAGAGCTGAGGAATAAAAATGGGGAAGTCACATTGCTGGGAGTGTATTCTTGACCCCCAAACAGACAGCAGGAAATAGAGGAGCAAATATACAGACAATTCACTGAGGTGTATAAATACAGTAATAAGGTAATTACATTAGGGGATTTCAACTTTCCCTAATTAGGATTGTCATAGTGTAAAAGATTTAGAGGGGCAGAATTCTTGAAATGTATTCAGCAGAGCTTTTTATAATCAACATGTAGAAGGTCAAACTAGGACCAGTGCAGTGCTGGACCTAATTCTGGGGAAGGAAGCCAGACAGATGTTGGAGGTGACAATGAGGGAGCATTTTAGTAATAGTGACCTCAACACCATAAATTTTTTTTCCTTTATTCATAATACAGACACAAAAATGCTAGAGAAGAAAATGCAGGAGTGATGAACATAGGAGGTATGGTTAGTAAATTTGCAGATGACACCAAAATAGGTTGAGTAGTGGACAGTGAAGAAGATTATCTTAGAGTACAACAAGATCTTGACCTAATGGGCCGTGGAGTGGCAGATGGAGTTTAATTTAGATAAATGTGATGTGTTGCATTTTGGAAAGGCAAATCAGAGCAGGACTTATACACTTAATGGTAAGGTCCTGGGGAGTGTTGCTGAACAAAGAGACCTTGGCGCAAAAACAGAAGTTGCTGGAAAAGCCCAGCAGGTCTGGCAGCATCTGTAAAGAAAACATCAGAGTTAACGTTTGGGTTCAGTGACCCTTCCTCAGAACTCACTGGACCCGAAATATTAACTCTGATATTTTCTTCACAGACACTGCCAGACCTGCTGAGCTTTTCCAGCAACTTCTGTTTTTGTCCTGATTTACAGCATCCGCAGTTCTTTTGATTTTTAAAGAGATGTTGGAATGCAGGTGCATAGCTCCTTGAAAGTGGAGTCACAGGTGAACAGGGTAGTGAAGGCAGCGTTTGGTATGGCTGCCTTTATTGGTCAATGCATCGCGTATAGGAATTTGGGAGGTCACGTCGCGGCTGTACAGGACATTGGTTTGGCCACTTTAGAATACTGCGTTCAATTCTAGTCTCCGTCCTATAGGAAGGATGCTGTAAAGCTTAAGAGGGTTCAGAAAAGCTTTACACGGATATTGCCAGGGTTGGAGTGTTTGAGCTATAAGGAAAGGCTGAATAGGCTGGGGCTATTTTCCCTGGAACGTCGGAGGCTGAGAGATGACCTTATAGAAGTTTATAAAATCATGAGGGGCATGGATAGGGGGAGTAGTCAGGTCTTTTCCGTGGGGTGTGGAAGTCCAAAACTAGAAGGCATAGGTTTAAAGTGAGAGGGGAGAGATTTAAAAAGGACCTTTTTCACACAGAGGGTGGTGCGTGTATGGAATGAGCTGCCACACGAAGTGGTGGAGGCTGGTACAATTACAACATTTAAAGGCATCTGGATAGGTATATGAAGGGTTTAGAGGGACATGGGCAAAATGCAGGCAAATGGGACTAGATTTATCTAGGATATCTGGTCGGCATGGACAAGTTGGACCGAAGGGTCTGTTTCCGTGCTGTATATCTCTATGACTCTAAGAAAGTTTGCAGACGACACAAAGATTGGCCAGGTCGTTGACAGAGACGTTATAGGAGGATATAGATAGATGGGTCAGGTGGGCAGATCTGTTGCAGATGGAAGTAGGAACAAGACAAAGGGAGCGGTCAATGAATGGCAGGACACAGGAAGCTCAGAGGAACAGAGGGATCTTGGGGAGCTTGTCCACAGACACCTGAAGGTGGCAGGACAGGTTAATAAGGGAGTTAACAAGGCATATGGGACACTTGCCTTTATCAATTGGTCCATACTATTAAATAGTTTAATCATTTGAAACAACTTAATGCAATCATCCCTCAATCTTCTACACACCAAGAAGTACTATCCAACTGTGCAGCATTCAACATTATTTTATTCCTCTTTGGTTCAAAACTCAGCCTCTATCAGCAAGTTCCTAATTGGTACATGTCTATATTAATAAATACTTACAACAATCTTGTTCACTATTTCGTTGTGGGCAAAGATTTGGGAGATGGAATACAATGTGGTGAAATGTAGGAAAACAGAAGTAGAGTACTTCTGGAAGTGTGAGAAGCTGGGCAGTGTTAAACTTCAAAGGGACTTGGGTGACCATGTTCATGAGTCACTGAGAGTGAACGTGCAGGTACAGCAACTAATTAGAAAGGTAAATGGCAGTTGAGCTTTTAAACAAGAGCTTTTGAATATAGGGCTAAAGATGTCTTACTGCACTTGTATAGAGCCTTGGTGAGATCACACCCAGAGTTTTCAGAGGTTTTTTTTGTCTTCTTGCCCAAAAGATCAAATGCTCACAGAGACAGTGGTTCATTAAACTAATACCTGGGGTGGAGCTAGTAAGAAGTGCCGATGCTGGAGTCCTGCTCCTCCGATGCTGCCTGGCCTGCCGTGTTCCTCCAGCTCCACACTGTGTTATACCTGGGATGGAGCGATTGTTTTCTGAGGAACAGTTAAATAGACTGGCTCTATATCTTCTGGCAAAGAATGAGATGCTATCTCATTCAAATATACAAAACGGTAAAGGGATCGACAGGGCAGAATCAGAAAGGATGTTTCCCCTGGCCGTGGTGGCGTGTGCTGTCAACACCACAGGATCCTCTCCCAGTTATGGGGCAGGCCATTTTGGACTGAGATGACAAGGAATTTCTTCACTCAAAAGGTGGTGAAGCTTTGGAATTATTTGTCCCAGAGGAGGCTCAGTCACTGAGTATGGTCAAATCTGAGATCGTTAGATTTCTACAGATCAAAAACAGCAAGGGAGATGGGATTGTACCAAATAATGGTGTTGAAATAGCAGATGAGCCATGATCTCACTGAATGATGGACCAGACACAAAGAGTTAAATGGCTTTCGCCTGCGTTTGTTCATATCTTCCTGGTGAATCTGCACTTCACCCCTGAAAGGCCAGGATTTTGTTCCAAAGCTGTGGTAGTGCCTGGAACTTAACTTAACACTCCAGCTGGGCGCGAAACAGAGTGTTGTCAAGCTGCAACACAGCATCCACCCTTTTGTTTTCAAGTATTCTTGTGATAAACACAGATTTTCCATCAACCCAAAATTATTCATTTCTATCTGTCCTCCAGCTTTTAATAATGCGTGTAGCTGGATCACTGAATTTCTTTGTTCTTCTACCATTCCAATTTTCTCACCTTTTGGAAATTAATCTGGTCTACCTGTCCTTTAGGTACAGAGTGGATGCCTTTTCACTTCTCCGTACAAAGCATATACTAACAGCACACAACACAGTACTGCAGGTAATGAAATGCTAAATTATTAAAAACAGGGAATCGCAGGGTCTGGACACATGAGAGTCAGGACACTATGTCGTACCTGCGATCCATCCGAACCTTCATCAGGCAAGGAACACCCATACACTTTCACACCTGTCTCTGTGTGGCAAACAAAACAGAAACAATAAGCAGCAATGAGTCCTACATTATTCCAGCTATGTTCTATGTATTAGCCGGGAAGGTCCTTGATGTTCAGTCAGTAACTGGAGCCTTAGGGGTGTTCAGAGTGAAGCTGGAGAGCCCAGTTCAGGCTGTGGTGCTGTAATTAAACCAATCTCCGGGCCAGAGGGAAATCAAATAGAGTTCCTATCCTGGTCATTTTCTTCTCAAAGCAGATACAGTGATGCTAAGACCATTAATATTTGATAGGGATTTCAGGAGAGCGGTGAGAATGAACTTGCTACCACAGTCAATCTTTTAGTTGAATAGCACAGATATATTTTAGAAGCTGGATAAACATACAAAGAAGAAAGGAATCCTGCTGTTGAGAGGAACCAGTCGTCTTCCACTCATAAGAACAAACACAAGAATGCCAACTTTCAGTCATCGCAATAATTTATCCTACGGAAAAGGATGCCAATGGGTTGGAAAATCAAATCCAATTGGTTAGACTCTGCCATACAGAAAACAGAGAACTAACAGACTCCCAAACCCTTTTGGATTTTGCAGAGATTGGGGCCCTGCTAATGAACGGATTTTGCTTCTAAAAAGCACAAATGATTGACGTTAGGAGCTTGATTATCTTAACTTGCTTGTTAGCACGTTCAGGATTATTCAACAAGGGCTGGTATGTATGGAATCACATCAAAATGTAGACATTTTATATTGGGTTTAGCAAGCACCTGCTGGTTGAGTACAGTCTGTACTCCAGTTATTATGAACTAAAGGAATGCAATGCCTGATTTGAGCAGCCACTCACTGAGACAGACAGCTACACAAGAGGTTACTCAGTTGTGAGGCTGACCAACAACCTTCTGTATGATAGCAGCATCCTCTAATGGAAAACAGTGCTCAAGTAGCCACTGCATAGCAGAAATGTGAAAAGTCTTATACTGAACCAGCTTTTCAAACATTTGAAATGCGGCATTCTTACATTTGTCCTGATGAATGCAAGATGAAAAGCTTCAGCAATACATCGCTCCTTTCTGTAAGATTCAACAAGAGAACAGAGGGACATGCTGTTAGGGCTAGATGAACAGGGGTTTGAGGAGACTTACATGGAGCAGAAATACGAGGGTAGATCATGCTCTAAATACTGTGGAACACTTTGTAAACTACTGAGTTGAACAAAGTGGGTATGCAGCCCACTCAGCTCAATGCAAAGCGTGAAGGAGGCTGGTAATAGTCCAAGGTTAGGCAGTCCCATTGAAAGACCGAGACACCCCAAAATCAAAATCCTACATTTGTTGCCCTAACAGCAATATCTTCATCAGATCATCACCATCTCTTCATCAGATAATTCGGGAGTGATGACATGCCCCAAGGATAATGCGTGCCTTTTCTACAGCTGTCCCTGAAACATGGCCTGGCTGAGAACATGAATAAATTCATAGCTATTTCTTTACTCTGCACTCCTCACTCCTTTTACTAAAACTGCAGACAGTCCCGGCATTCCCAGGTCTTTCTCTCCCTATCCTCTCACCTTCAGAGAATTCTATACTAGGGGTGTCTCTCTCTCTCCTCACTTACATCCTGCGGTTTCTTTAGCCACGCACTCCAATTCCTTGGTTTTAACTTCCAAAACAAATTACTTCACACTTAGCATATCAAATTACATCTGCCACCCATCTGTCCTCACCCATTTAAGAATTCCTGAAGTCTGTTACAAAACTCCGTGCTGTTTGTCAAACCCATAACTTCAGTAGTCTCAGCAAATTTCAACATGCAGCTCTGCATGGCCAGCTGGAACTGATCTGTGACTGCAGGAGCACCAATTTGGTGGCTGGGAACCATATCCAATCAGATCATCTGAGCTGAGCACTGCCCTTTGACCCAAACCCCTGACCATCAACCACATTTCAAACCTCATTAATTTCTTCATGTTCCACACGGTTGAAAATTTATAACAGGTCTATTTTGAGACTCATCAAACAACGTTGCCAGAATGGTACCTAAGATTCGAAGCAAAGCCTTTTGAGAGTTGCTGTGAACTGGAATGCACTGCTAGAAAGGACAGTGGAAGCAGATTCATGAGGAACTTTTAAAAGGGGATTGGACAAAAACTTGGAATGGGAAAAGATGAAATTTCTATGGTGAAACAGCAGGGAAGTGACGCAAATTAAACAGCTCTTTCAGAGAGCTGGCTCAGGTTTGATAGGCTAATGGAGTCCTTCTGTGCCACCTTTTCATCATGGTTTTCAAATTTCCCATGGTTTTGACCCCTCCCTTTTTTCCCCTCACCCTCTGACCCCAGAACTCTCTAAGATCTATACCCTGTTCTAATTCTGACCCTCTGCGAATCCCTCATTTTAACTGGGCCCATTATTGATTACTACCTGAACCCTAATCCTCTCTCCCTCCGTCCCTCCCTCAACACCATCATTAAACTGCATCTTTGAACATGTTTCTAATCATGACCTAAGATCTCGCCATGTGGCTCGGGGTCAAACTCTGGTTGATAACACTCAAGGTGAAGCAACTTGGAATGTTTTATAATGTTAGAAATCTTTTCTAAATACAAGCTGTGTGAAAACCAATTGGCTCTCCATCTACTGGATCTCTACCTTGGAGACTCTTCCTCCAATAAAAGCTTTATTAATCCTCTTCACATTGTCTGCACACAAGTCCTATTCACCTCCACACCACTGTTGCATTTACCTCTGAAAGGTATCTGTACTGTTTGTGGTTGAGCGGAGGTCACCCTGAGGGTATCATTTTCCTGTTATCACTCTCTTTCACCGTAAACCAACTCCTGTGCCATTTAACCTTTCCTGTCTTCCACCCAATCACAAACTTCTATTTTGTTCTTTCTTCCCATACTCCCCTTCCAGTGTCTAAAACCTCCTCCATCTCTGCCTTTTCCCATTTCAGAGGAAAGACCATCAGCCTGAGAAGCCAACCCTCTTTTCCCCCCCGGAGGTGCTGCCTGATGTGCTGAGTATTCCCAGCATTTTGTTTGTTTATTTCAGACCTGCAGCATCCACAGTATTCTGTTCTTGAATCACATTCCCACATTAGGAGCTCACTCCAGTGCACCAAATTCAGGAATCCTTTTCTTGTGCAGACACACACTGACCATTCCATCTAGTGAGTGATACAGAGCACAGGTGAAAAATGGGCACCCTAAGAGGATTGTTTTCTCAATCCAGTCCCCAATCCCATCAACAGACTATTATCTGACGGCAGTAGCTCAGTGGATAAGATTCCATCTTCTTAAAGAAGAAGAGCAAGACCAAAAAGCTCTGACGACCACCAGGAAAACTCACTGAGCAAAGTTGGCCGAGGGATGAATATTGACCAGGACACTGGGGAGAGCTCTCCTGCCTGTCTCTGAAATACTGCCCAGTGATTTTTAATTCCACTCACAGGGTAGACAAGCCTATATAATGTCCCGTGTGAAGGACAGAACCTCCAACTTGCAGCACTCCTTTCTGGAGTGAGATGTGAATGCACAACAACTCTCTGACTAAGAGAAGAGAATTATATGAGCTATTGCTGTCAAATAATAACCTGTTTAAGTGTTTGGGGGCTAGACAGAAAAAAAAAATCCCCCTAGGGTGCCCATTCCTGAACTGCATTCTGTATCAGAGCTTACTGTGCATAAATCCAATTCCACTTCCTGCATTACAGCACTAACTACATCTCAAAATGTGACTGTTTGAGCTGTAAAGCTAAACGACATTGTGAAGTTGTGAAAGGTGCTATAAAATGCAAGTTTCTTTATTAACTTTCTGCGACTTGCTGAGTTCTGAAACCTGGCTGAGAACGAGCAGGGAGATATTGGAATATTTCTCACCAGGATGTTGCCTGCAAAGCTTCCTCTTCACACGTGGTCCAAGACCCTGTCCTTCCTTCCAGCCCATTTTCCGCAGTAACTGCACACCAATTGTTATCCTAGGCGAGAGTTTAGACAGATTATATCCCTGAATTAGTCACTCAATACCCTTCAGGCAGGTCATGGCTGTGTCAGTGAGATGAAAAATGACACACTAGAATTCAGAACGGACCAAAAGATGTTAATAGAAACATTACCCACCTCTGGCTCTCCAATCCTGCTCCAACACAGCATTGCTGCAATTTGAAAACACCACATCCGAAAGGCTACAAAATGTAATCACTCATAACCTCAGCACCAGTGGAACACCAGAGGTTTGACCAGAAATGAGGCCAGAAATTACAAGGACAGACTAAAGAAACTGAGGCATTTCTGAAGAAGGGTCCAGACCCGAAATGTCTGTTTTGCTGCTCCTCTGATGCTGCTTGGCCTGCTATGTTCACCCAGCTCTACACCTTGTTATCTCTAAAGAAACTAGGGTTGCATTCCCTGGAATTTAAAAGTTTAAGAACTGACTTGATCAAAATTTCTAAAATATTAAAATATTGGTAAGGTTCCACATGGTAGGCTGCTCTGAAAGGTTAAATCACATGGAATCCAGGGAGAGCTGGCAAATTGGATACACAATTGGCTTAATGGTAGGAAGCAGAGGGTAACAGTGGAAGGATGCTTGTCAAACTGGAGGCCTGTGACTTGTGGTTTGCCTCAGGGGTTTGTTACCTATAATTGATGATTTGGATGAGAATGTACAAGGCATGATTAGTCAGTTTGCAGATGATACTAAAATAGCCTTCCTCACTGTCCACGGTTTTGCCTATCAGAAGTTGCAGCAGGGTCTTGACCAGCTGGGGAAGTGGGCCAAGAAATGGCAAATGGAGTTTAATATAGATAAGTATAAGGTGTTGCATTTTGGTAAGTCAAATCCAGGTCAGAGTTTCATGGTGAATGGTCAGGCCTTAAGGAGCGCAGTGGAAGAGAAGGACCTTGGAGTTCAGGTGCACGGTCCTCTGAAAGTGGAGGCACAGGTAGACAGGGCAGTGAAGAAGGCTTTTGGCACACTGGCCTTCATCAGTCAGGGTATTGAGTACAGAAGTTGGGAAGTTATGATGCAGTTGTACAGGATGTTGATGAAGCCGCTCTTGGAATACTGTGTTCAGTTTTGATCACCTTGCTACAGGAAGAATGTTATTAAACTGGAAAGAGTGCAGAAGAAGTTTACAAGGAAGTTGCCAGGACTCAAGGGACTGAGTTATAGGGAGAGGTTCGACAAGCTGGGACTTTTTTCTTTAGAGTATAGGAGACTGAGGAGGCATCTTATAGAAGTGTATAAGATCATGAGAGGCATGGATAGGGTGAATGCACTCAGTCTTTTTCCCAGAGTTGGGGAATTGAGGACTAGAGGGCATCAGATTAAGGTAAGAGGGGAAAGAATACATGGGAGCCTGAGGGGCAACTTTTCTCACACAGAGGGTGGTATACACATGGAATGAGCTGCCAGTGAAAGTGGTTGAGGTGGGCACATTAACAACATTTAAAAGGCATCTGAACAAATACATGGATAGGAAAGGTTTAGAAGGATATGAGCCATGTGCAGGGGAATGGGGATAGTGTGGATGGACATTTTGGTCGGCATGGACCAGTTTGAGCCGAAGGGCCTATCTCCGTGCTGTAGGACTCTATGACTCTATTACACTGCACAAATACAGGAAAACTATTTGTTCTGGTCTAGGAGCCCAGGAATAGAGGCCAAAATGTAGAGCCAGAACATTCAGAAATGAAGTTAGGAAAAGATTTAACCCACAGCAAGTGGTAACGTTTGGAACTCTTTTACTCAAAAAGCAACTGATGCACGATCAGTTGTCAAAGTTAAGAGAGGCAGAATGTAGAAGTTGGATCACTGAACACTGATACAAGTTTGAGGGGTCATATGGTTTCCTGCTGCTCCTATTCAGTCTGTTTTCTATGTCCTGTGATCCCAGATAGAGAAAAGGGTAAATCACCCAGACTTTCTGACCCTGACCAATCTCTAGTGATCCCTGCAAAATGAGTACCTGAGGAAGATGGAAACAACAGTGTATTCACCACAACAATCCATGGACACTTTTAGGCAAAACAGGATAACTGTACAATCTGGCCTGCAGCAACAGGCAATCACTTCAGGGAGGGGAAAGCACAACCTGAACAATACAATCAGAGAAGCAAAGTAGCAAGAACCTGACCATTGGGCTCCTATCGTTTCTGCCTCTTTATACTCTTAGGTAATCTCAGTACAATAGGTGGATACATGGATTGATAGATAAATAGTTAGATAGATAGATAAAGATACAGAAAGTAAAACTTTTTTGATCATAAAATGTTTGGTTTAAAAAGGTGCTTATGTATTGTGGCTGACACTTCAACAGAGGACTTAGGACAGAGGAGCATTTTCAACCCCTATATCCACTACTCCATCCTCCGTAGGTCGAACCCACACTGACCAGACTCTCTGTATTCCACAGAGCAACTATAGCAGCGGTGCTGGCCGGCCTGTGACAACGGAGCAATGAGAAAGAAGATTTTCTTTGAGCTTTCTGACTCCAGCCACAGTTGCAACGTAATCACAGAGAGATGGAGCCTCTGAGACTGACAGCTGCTTAACCATGTTTACCACTCAACAGTCACTCCCTCCCCTCTCCTGCTCTCACTTTGCTGGAGCAATCAGGTCATCCAAGATGCTGGCTCCAGGAATAGGAGCTACCAGACTCGCCAAAGCTCGCGACTTCTCCCAGATCTTGTCTTTAGCCTTTGAGGCAAACTCATCTGTAGTTGTTATTCCTTTCGGCGCAATTCCATGTTCCTTGAGATCCTGAAAAACATTAAGAAATTCCCAGAATCTTACACCACAAGAGGAGTCTGAGTTGCCCATCATGATTGTGTCAAGACCTATCCACCTAATCCCATTCCTCTGATCGTTCCCAAAAGCCCTGCAGGTATTAGCTAATAAAGTATTTATTTGATTCTTTTTCAAAAGTTACTTTTGAATCTTCATCCGCTGCCCTTTATTATAGCAAATCAATGAATAGAACAAATTCTAAACATATCATTTTCTGAAGAAGGGTCTAGGCCAGAAACATCACCTTTCCTGCTCCTCTGATGCTGCTTGGCCTGCTGTGTTCATCCAGCTCTACACCATGTTATCTCTAAACATATCATGACCTTTTTTTAGCCAATCGCCTTGAATCTGTGTCCTCTGCTTATTGACTCTCTTTGCAGTGAAACCGTTTCTCTTCTTTTACTTTTAAGAAGACCCTTCATAATTTTCAATCCATCAAACCTTCCTTTAATCCTCGCTGCTCTAGGAACCATCTGTCCACATGTAAATTGTAGATGTTAACTGAGGACAAGTGTGAGTGGAGTCTATTCCTCCTTCCCTCCCTCCAGGTGGAGCAGCTGCCATCTGCCTGATGTCTGTTGATAGTGAGACATGAAAGCAGAACCTGGAGGTCATGTCCACACACCACTGCACTCTAGGCTATGCATGGATCTGAATGTTGCCCCAATTTCTCCAAAACAAAATATGAACCAGCCTTTCCACTCACAACCTCAGCAAACTGTGAACTCCAGAGTTCTGATTAGCAATGGCACCAACAGGAACGGGGTTACAGTGGGCTAGAGGCATTGCAATGTTCGAAATGCCACAATTGTTTTGAATAGTAGGGCAGGTTTGACAGGCTGAATGGCCTACCCCGTTCCTATATTCCGAATGCTTCACCTGTCTTCAGAGTCTCTCTGGGACATCACTATCCGCCCAACTACAAAGAACAACAAAAGAAAGTCCTTGTAAAGTACCTCTTCATCCATGAAGTGCTCGGGGTTGAAGACCTGTTTCTCTGCCTTTTGCTGCCTTGACGACACAAATGTCGAAGGCGTCCACCCTACAGTGACAATAACAAGGTTAAACCTCCTGCCTAGTTTTCAACACGCACAACTCACAATGCATAATATACAGGATATCAGAGAGCCCACTGTTTGTGACATGCAGAATAATACACAGACCCAGTACATCATACCCTCTTGATGGCTGTGCTATGTAAAAAAGACACAAAGCTTTATGTATTTGGAAGCAGAGTGTGCGAGAGCAGTCCCGTTACACTCTGAATGCATATTGCAGACAGCTTATCCAGAGAAAAATGCTAACAAAAAACAGCAGACCTGATAGGGTGGCCCAGTGTGGAGAATGAGTCTGCTAATCATAGCAGATAGCAGAGGGCAAATTCAGCCACACACTCACAGGATTTCCCCACCAGAGATACCTCTGAACTTGTTCTTCAACTGCCAGCCTAGGACACCCTCTCCAGCAGGCGGCAGTCTCCGGGCCATGAGCGTACCACCCAGAATCTACTGGAAATTCAACAAAAAAGTAGCACATGCAAATAAACGTAAAGCTTTTTGAATCTGCGTGTGTCACCCACTGGCAGAGGCTGCCATTTCCTTTAAAATAGTGGAATGTGAAATCTGTTTGTTGGAACTGCCTCAATTAAAAAAATAGCCATGGCACCTCAAAATTATTTGTTGTTTACAGCCAAGGAACTGCATTTCAAAGAATTGTAAGAGCAATTTCCTTACCTTCTTTTGAGCCCACTGAGTTGAAATAACCAGCAGAAAATCCCCCAGTGAATGCCCCATGAAAGTGTTTGTATCTCCCTTTCTCATCTCTGACTGTCTGCTCGTGCAGTGGAACTGGGTTCTTGGTCGATTCATCATCTGAGCAAGAAAAAGTCTACTTTAAGACACCAGTATCTTAACAAGTCTTAATTCAAAATGTTCCCTTTCCTGTTTACAATATCACCTTGTTCTAGTCAAGAACATAAGAACTAGGAGCAGGAGTGGGCCGTCCGGCCCTTCGAGGCTGCCCCGCCATTTAATAAGATCATGGCTGACCTTTTCGTGGACTCAGATCCACTTACCCGCGTTCTCACTGTATCCCTTAATTCCTTTATTGTTCAAGATGGCGTTAAATCTCACTGTGGAACATTACCACTTCTCATGTCTTGGAGACACAGAAAATAGGAGCACATGTAGGCCATTCAGCCCTTTGAACACCTTCTGGAAAACATTCAATGTTTTGGCCTCAATTGCTTTCTGTGGCACAGATTTCCACAGGCTCACCTCTCTGTTCCACAGCTCAGTCTCAGTCCTAAATGACCTACTCCATGTATTAGACTGTGGCCCCCTAGTTCTGAGCTGCCAGTCAGCAGAACATCCAGTCTTTTTGACTGAACCTGCTAGCTGTCCACTGGCTCCCAGCCTAGTCCTGTCCTCACCTCTTGCCCAACTCACAAACACTGCTATAAAGACCCACTTAACTCAGGATTTCCGTCATTTCCCACCTCCAGTCCCTCCATCAGCTGACAGCTCCCAAAACTGACTGCCTGCATACAAACCACAAGACCAAAAGATGTAGGAGCAGATTTAGTCATTCAGCCCATGGAGTCTGCTCCATAATTCTCCTGCTGTCTCCCAGTAACCTCTGATTCCCTTACTAATCAACATCCTATTTATCTCGGTCTTAACTATACTCAATGACTTCACCTCCACAGCAAGGAGTTCCATAGATTCACCACCCTCCAACTGAAGAAATTCTTCTTCATCTTGTTCCTAAAGGGTTGTCTCTTCATTTTGAAGCCTAATGCAAATACCTTCTCCACATTCACTCTAACCACGCCTGTAGTATTCTGTAAGCTTCAATGAGATCCCTCCTCATCCTAAACTCCATCAAGTACAGACACAAAGTCCTCACCCGTTCCTCATATGACAAGCCCTCCATCCCTGGGATCATTCTTGTACACCTCCTTCAGACTCCTTCTTAAGGCCAGCACATCCATCCCTAGATATGGAGCCCGAAACTGAATAAAAAACAAACTCATTCCTGTGTGTCCTTGATGGGGGGGG